CCATATTACACTCCTTATAGAGAATTTGATCTACTCAGTGTGAGCAGTTTGCTGTTAGCCAGAGCTATTTATGGCAAACACATGCTTTTGTATCTTGTCATAGTTCTCCACAAATGGCAAAACTGGATTTGATTCTACTGGTATGCAAAACAGGCATGCTAGTAAGCAGTCATAGCTCAGAATTTAACCCCATGGTTCTAAAGAACTTTTATCATTAAACAGGAAATAAAAATAACCCTTTTAAAAAAAATTGGATTGAATATGTGAAAGAGGAGTATGTTTTCCCCATATTTTGAAAGATTATTTTCAGGTGAGACTAATAACAGGTTAAATGTCTAAGCTTGCATTTATAATTGTATGAATGGCTTGGGGTCCTTTTTATCCTGGGTAATTTTATTTCAGGCTTTCAGCTGTCCCTATGAGTTGTCCTGGACATTTCAGTGGCTTTTTGGTAAGGCCAAACTAATAAGCAAAGCATGAGAATATTAATGTATTGTAAACCGTATATGTAACTGATACACATACCATGGAGTTTTTCGTTATTTCATTGTTCTAATAATAGACTTCTAAAAAACAAATCAGTTATGTAATATCTTATTTCTATAGCTGATCCAATGTCCTTCAGTGTCTTTATATAATAGAGTGTAGATACTCCTTCAAACTTTGATAACTTCAATTTGTTAGACTGACAAAAACATTAATGTAGCTCATCTTTTGACTTTACCTTTGTGCATAGAGCCAAAATGACATAATTAATGATGGATCACATGTTGAGACTAGTTTGGCATTTAAAATGATCTTATTTTATAATCACAGTGAAACTGTTTCAGTTAGCTTTAAAAACTTATGTGGTGCTAATTAGTAAAATATTGGGGACAATATTTTACTGCTAGCTTGCAAAATTACAAGTGTTTAAAAATAAAATATATGAAAATACTGAAAAAAAAAATTGAAGATGTTTATGCCTGGGATGAAACTGAATTCTACTTGGGCAGGAGATGTGCTTGTGTGTACAAAGTGAACAACAACACAGTGACCCCAGGTGGCAAACCAAACAAAACCAGAGTGATCTGAGGAAAAGTATCTCGGGCTCACAGAAACAGCGGCATGGTTTGTGCCAAGTTCTGAAGCAACCTTCCTGCAAAGGCCCTCAGACACCGAACCCATGTGATGCCGTACCCCTCAAGAATTTAAACTAATGGAAAATAAAAGTGCATTTGTGCTTTTGTTAAAAAAAAAAATCAGGGCTGAGTCCTCACCCAGGTTCCCTCTTGCCCTGGAGGAGCCTAGTGCCTAGTGGTGTCTCGTGAGAATCTCACACCCAGTCTGCTGCTAAGAGGGCTGCCCAGAAGCCCCAGCAGGGACAGCATGTGTGTGTGTGGAGGGGTGGATGTGGGGACCTGGCCTGGGCTTGGTCTATCGTCAGTCCCTTTCAGTTCCAGGGCAAGTGGTACTCGCTAGCCATGGCAGATGAGAAAATTCAGAATGAAACGAAAAAGGTATACATGCACAGTGTCGTCTACAATCTGAGGCCTGACGGCAGCTACCACACTACCACCAGGCTATACAGGTAAATTTTCTGCATCCTTCAGGTCTAAGAAGGAGGACAGACTAGCAGAGGGTGCTCAAGGTTGAGGGAGGCTGTCTTTATCTCACTAGTCTGAATGGACTCGCACTCTCCAGTCTCCCTTCTTACTTCTTCCCCTCTTTCCTTTCCTCCATTAATTCCATCAGTCTTCATGGGTGGCTTTAGCACAGGTTCAGGCAGAAGAAAGCACGACATGGAGAAGTATGTGAGAACAGGAAGGGGACACTGGATCCTGCCTGACATGCCAAGCACCGACACGAAGTGGGCCTGCTAGGGATGTGACCTTAGCACTGTAGTCCTGACTGTCACCCTAGCCTTTCCACAGGCTGAGGCTGGATGACAGCAGAAGGGAAGCTAGCCTGGGAACCACACAGAGATTGTCTAAAAGGAGAAATGAAACCAGGATGCGGATGCAGGTCACTGCCATGACCGGGGCTCCATCACCACCAGCAGCACCAAAGAGAGATGATGTCACAGGGCTGTCAGCAAGGCCTCAGCTCAGGAACCAGGAGGCCCCAGGCTTCAACATGGCCACCTGAGCAGGGGCTGATGAGCAGATTAGAGGAGGGTGACCCCAAGCCAGCATCTGGGCACCTCCCACTGTGCTGACCTAGGCTGCCTGCTAGGGCCACATCTGTGCCCAGCTGCTGCAGAGGACATGTGCACAATTATAAAGGTAATGCCAGCTAGGAGATGGCAGAGGAGGTCCAGACAGGATTCAAAGTTTTGCAGCCCAGGCTCTCCGGCCTGTGTGGAGGTCTGACTGTGGCCATTAGGTGTTTTGGACGTGGAGCTCTAGAAGTTCAAAAGAACCAGGAAGGCAGGTCTGGTGGGCTTGTCACTGAAGTACAGGGGCTGTGTGGACTCAGGAAAGCAATCAGGGGTGGCCCCTATGATAGGGAAGAGCCCAGCATGGAGCAGACTGGATGCTGAGGGGATACTGCGAGGAACCATGGGAAAGAGGAGGAGTAAGATATAAGTAGGGCCCAGAACCCAGGTCCTGTGTGGGGGACAGGTGGTACCAAGGAGGCAGCACAGGACACAGTGAGCACTAGAGGGAGGGCTGAGTGCAGAGGAGCAGGCAGAGGCACAGGGTGGAAGGCCTAGGGCCATGGAGATGTCTGCTCAGTGCTTCTGCCCTAGAGAGGGACAAGCCATCTTGGACTGGACTAGATAGTGGCTTCAGGATCCTGCTGTGCTCTGGTCCTTTCCAGAGCCTCTTGGCAGGACCAAGTGTGTGTCACCTCTCTGCTCAGTCACTTCTGCCTCTCCTCTCACAGGCCAATTTTAACTCTTGTGCTTTTGCCACCACTCAATGATGATCCTCGCCTGGACTGCCATCGGTTTAATGAAACCTTCTCTCTAACTCATGATATAAAGCCATTCATCAGAGAAGACACAAGTGGTGAGTCCTGAGATAGGGGCCCCGGTGTGAGGATTTTGGGGTCACAGTCCTCCCACAAGACACCGACCTGCCTACTCACCTCACAAATGCCATCCTGTGGGCAAATGCCTCTACTAATTGGACAGGGATGAGGAGATCAGTGCGTTTCTCACAGGCAGGAAAGGATTGACCTCTGGATGTCCACCCTGCAGGTCATCTTGGCGTACCGAGACAGAGCAAGATCTTGTTATCTACCAACTACAATGAGTTTGCTGTGCTGTCCATCGTGAATGAGTTCGAAGACAATGTGTCTGCCAGACTCATGCTCTATGGTGGGTCCTGACTCCTTTTCTAGTGGACAGGTTACAACGGGGGACAGGGCCCCTATTCCTAAGACCCAATGTCTTCTCCAGTCAGAGCCCAATTTGGGGAGGAAGTCATTTCACATTTCACTTCCCATGGGAGAGGTCTGTGAGACCTTCACTCATCCAAAAATGCTTTTGCTATGAGCCAGTTATGTTGGCCAATTTCATTCCAGTACTGGGAGACTGGGAGGCAGAGGCAGGAGGATTGTGATTCTGACCCTGTCTATGATAATCTGAAAACATGGAATGTCTTTATCCTGGCCACCCACTGGTCACTTCGGCTACAGGGCGAAACAAGACACTGACTCCCCAAGCGAAGGAGCACTTTGATCTCTTCGTCAAGTACCTTGACCTCACTGATGAGAACATTTTCTTCTACCTCCCAACTGGTAATGCACACTGGGGATGGGTGACTGGGAGGTGGGGTCTGTGTAGGCCTGATGTTGCTCGCCAGGGGAACCAGACAAGATATTCTTGGTCTTCTGATACTGTTGCTAGAGAGGTGGAGATGACCTCACTGGGGCATGTTGAACCCTAGAGATCCAGTCAATGTGTGTATTTCCCCTACCTTTTCGAAAAGGTAGACAGAAGTGACAGTCTCAGCCCTGGGTCCATGTTTCCCTACTTTCCCTGCCCTCCATGGGCCACCTCCTCTCCATGCTTTGCTTTTGGCTGACTGGGCCTCTCTCCTGTCCCTTGGGGCTTGCCCATTTCTGATGTGAGAGAAACACTCACATTCACGTGGCCAGGCCTAGACAGGGGGCCGTGTACTGATGTTCTTTCTCCCCACAGAGAGATGCATCGATGACTTGTGAGCAGACAGTGAGTATGGCTGGGCAGGGCTGGTGCGAGGCTGGAATGAAGGCCTGGCAGTCTCAGTACTGAGTTTCTTCCACTTTGCATCCTGAAACCCAGCCGTCTTTGTACTGTCCCCTCACAGGTGCCTCCTGTCTCTCCCTCACTCTTCTTCCGGTCACTGCTGTCCAAGATGCCCTCTGGCTGCCACCTGGTTACCACTATCAAAATGCCAATGAGAGCACTGGCAGACCCTTCTTACCATGCAGTGCAGCCTGCCTCTGTGTACCAAAAGCCACTCTGCTTCTGGAGTCCCCGTGGATACTGAATAAACTCATGCTAGAGGCCTCCATGTCTGCGTTCCTTTTGTCAAGTCAGGGGTGCTCCTGTCCTTTGTTCCACAGCCTGGATGCCCATGCAGGAGATAGCACCCAGGGTGGCCTCAGGGAAAGGGACCTGTGGGCCACAGCTCAGCACAGTGTCTGCAGAGGAGACCTATTGTAGAGTGGGCCATGCACGGTCTGCATCCCAAGGCACTGAGCCGGGAGCCTCTGCCTTCACGGCCCTGGCACCCGAGGAGTCATCCCATCCTCCCAGCTCCAGAGGCTTCCTGTTTGTACCTGCTGGCACCGAACTGGTCCAGGATTAGGACTTGCTCCTTCCTGTTACTCCAGGTACCCAGAGCACTGTGAACTCAGCCCTTCAGGGGCCTCTGGGATGCCATCAGATGGGGCTTGTGGGAGAGAACAGGCTGGGCTTTCTGGGAATGACTGCTTCTGTTCTACTGTTGGGAGTCAAGGCCAGGGGAGTGATCGGCCCAGGCACTGGAAGAGCAGCTGTGTCTGGTCTCCAGCTGTGGAGACTCATACTAGGGCTGCTGGTCTCCTGTTTCTTCCAAGTGGCCTGCTCACTTCTCCACATCTGCGGCCTTCACCATTCCTCTCACTGGGACAGCAAGGTCAGGGTCTCCTCTGTTCCTTGTCCCCATCTGTATTTTTCAGATGGCAACATAGCATGGCTGAGCCTCCTGTCCAAGGAGGGTACATGAGCAACCCTGGGATGGCTGTGAGATCTGGAGGCTCTCACCAGAAGCTCCTGTCACTGTCACAAGGGCATGGCTGACACGTGCCAGCAGGGACAGGGTGAGGGGCAGAAAGGTAGACAAGGGCCAGGGGCTGATCATGCTCAGAACAGCTGTGAAAACACTGGGCCTGGCTGCAGTCTCTTGAGACACCACATGTAGTGGCCTAGTCAGCTGAGTACAGGGAAGTGGGAGCTTCTAGGGGCCGGACTCTTGCCCAGACCTAGGTCTGCAGGTACTCTCACCCTGTGTTCCCGACCCATGACTCTCAGAATCACCTCTTGTGGGTGGCATGCTCTGTAGTGACATAAGGAGCAAGCATGACAGAAGACAAGGCACAGGACTAGATGCTTCCTTCTGGGCCCAGAACTCCTCAGGTGGCCACTGCCCTGCCCTGAGTCACTGTGGCCCCAAGTGTCCATCCATAGGAGCTCAGCATGGCTGTGCGGTACTGAATGGGTCCTCGCTCCCCAGGCTCCGCCTGCAGCCCTGACACCCTTCCTGTTCTGGGTCACCTCCTCCTGACACGCTGGGTCAAACTGCTTCAAGCAACCTCCTGCCCTGTGATCAGCAGCCACTTATCCCCCTCGCTGTAGCCCCCTATTTTAGGTCACATCCACCCCACATCCACAGGTTCCCGGCAGAGAAGCTGCAAAGAAATGAAGATTCCAGGAACAGTTCTGAAACACTTTGGGTGTGAGTGTCACTCAGTGTAGAGCACTTGCCTATCACAGGCAAGGTCTAACTCGCTACAGCAAACAAAATAAAATAAAGAGGAAAATGAAATCGAGAGAAGAAAGGCAGCTGGGTCTGGGTGCACACCTGTAATCACTGTATTCTATAGGCTGAGGGAACAGGATTGGTAATTTCAGTTCAAGTGCCCACTAGACTGCTTAGCAAGAAACTGCCTCAAAACAAAAAGATGGGAAAGGTAGGACACATGCAGCCCTCTGGAGGCCAGGCTAAGCTACAGACAGAAGTCAAGCCAAACCTAAACCACATAGCAAAGTTGCAAGCAGCAGATGCAACATCAGACCAAAACAACGGAACACAAAGAACAACTGGCGCCTGGTGGCCCATCCTGGCCGTGGGCCTGGAGCATGGAGGCTGGACCTCCACCTCTACCCTGCCTTCCACAAGGACAGTGGCAACACCTAGCCACCAATCTCTAGCGCCAGGGATGGGTTTCTCATATGCCAGTTTAATTCCACCCCTCTCCTGCCTTCCCAAGATGTACCCCTCTCTGAGTCACCGGGTGAGGGGCATCTCCAACCTGCCCCTCTAGAAGCCCTGGCCATGGAAGTTTGGGCCTTTTATTAGGACAAGGAAGCCCCAAAGAGCCTGTAAGAGGAGTGGGGCATCCTGGGAGCCCTACTATGTCCTATCCTCCAGTTATCCTCACTTCTACAGCTACTTTCTCTTAATTCAATGAATAGAAAGATTTGTTCTAATAGTGTTTGTGGACAGGATATCCTGTCTGTATCTTGTATAATGAATAGTCACTAAGACAACAATATGCAATGTATCAATTATTGAAATGGTTCTACTAATTGGTTTTGAAACTGTCTCATTGCTAGTTGTTTCTCAATAAAATTATTTTAAACGAAAGAAAGAAGAAAGAAAGAAAGAAAGAAAGAAAGAAAGAAAGAAAGAAAGAAGAAAGAAAGAAAGAAAGAAA